CCCTGCTACAATCTGGTGCGTAAACCAGCGCGGTCTAAAATGGAGCATGTGCACGGAGGAAGCTCAGTGATGCAGCATAATTAGTAAAGGAGGGAATAAAGAAAGGCAAGTAACTACCGTGGATTATTTTAAGTAGTCGTGCCAGTGGTTCCGGAAAACCATATCAGTAAAACAGGCAGCATTGATACCCTCGTTCAAAGTGAGAACGCGGTCAGAAAATTTAGGGTAACGATTTCAGGCACAGCCCAGTTGATCCCCCTCCTGAGAAAGTTTCAGGTTAAAGTTTGGACCGTAAGGTTCGAAGAGCGACCACGCCCATCGACTGCTTCTGTGCAAACGACCGGGTTTCTACCATACTTTGTTATGCAATGATGACAATGAAATGGTCCTCAGCAGTTAATTGTACTGTGCTAGCAGTTGCATCCGCAGCGACAGACGCGTGATCTTTAGAACATGCTGCATGAACTACATTTCGGTGTCAAAATGAGTAGCTCTTGGCCCCATGGTTGTTTATAAAGGCTAGGGTGAGAATCATTCGCTTTTCTTAGGGTAAGGCAGCTCCTTCGGTCTAGAGACCTCATGTACCTTCATATCTTTGTTCGCGTGAAACTGAGCGTGGCGAGTGGCACTAACGTGTTCGAAGTTGCAATGTCTAGATCACTTGGTGGAATCAAGTTTCATAGGCTGCAATAGCTCAGGTAGGCACTATGTGTGTCCGCTCGCGATTTACCAAAAAGAGCGTCGTTTCGCTTGTCGCATCCAGGAACGGGTCACTCGGTGACCAGAGAGTGAGGGAAAGTCACCGACCATCGAACCGAGTGCAGTTGGATCATCTTAACTGTCAGGTATAGAGCTATGCCACTTAAGCATGCGCCTGACGTGATGCAGAGCTTAAAACAGGTAGTTGCGGCGTTGTAACCGTCGTTTCCTAGCGGGCCTTACTATGAACCGTGGATGGTTCTGTTAGCTGTGTGGCGGCAGTGAGTACAGTGCAGGTGATTGAAAGCGCCACGGGTGCTGTCTTGCCCATGCCAGCTTCACTTCTCACGACAGCCAATTGCTCGCACACGCATTGTGTTAAGAAGTATAAGTGCCTTACCGCTGAATGTCTGGTGCATTCAAGTGCAACCATGATCTCGTCCCTCATTAGTGGGGGATGTACTGTTGTATGGCAGAGGTACCATTACACTACTGATGTTGATGACGCTCCTGCCATGTACCACACAAAAATCTGCGAGATGGTGATCTGGAATCAGCTGAAGTGAGGCTAAATAATGTCACAATTCGAAATCACAAAACGGTAGTCTCACAGCTGTGTCCTTTGCATACTTAGCACAGAGACTATGAGGTGAGAAAAGACAGAGGATCGTGACATACTGACCAAAACGACATGAGGTCAGTCCAGCGAAAAAGTCCGGGACTGTGGAAACATTGACCGTGTCCACTTGTTAGGTACATCTTTACATCGATTTAGCGCAAAAGAGATGAAAAGAAAATGACAACAATGATGAAATTCTGCTGGAAGACTGATACTCTTCAGCTGGCCATTCAATCTAACATGACAAAAGATAAAAATGGTACAATATTCCCGTGTTCCATAAGCAGAGCTGGTCGATTGCCTAGAAAATGTCTGGCGAGATTATGAATTTCAGAAAAACATTTCGGTATGATTGAACCTGGCCTGAGGGGCCAACACGAAATGCGTCCATCTATCTTCAAAGATAACTTATGGCACACGTGTCCTATGCCAGACGAGCTAAATTAGCTATCCACACATTGTGTCTACTATAGCTCATTGGCCCAAACTCTCAAGACGCGGGATAGCAAAACTAAACTGCTCTTCTGGGTTTCTCCGAGAGCATTTCGGGAAGTGAGACTCATTATAGCCCAATGGACTAATGCAAGACAACCAGTCGCAGCATGTCAAACTACAAGATGGAAAAGGATTCTGCTAAATATACATGCCGTCACGTGACACCCTACTCTATATGACAAGACCCTCACCAACAGCGGTGTGGACTCAGTTAGCTACGGTAACAGTGTTAGGAACTGCATATCAGTTGCATTCTCAGCAACTCCATGTATCGATTCCGGATTTGGAGATTCATTCAATGAATTAGGCGCCCAGATACTGCGGATTCAGTCAATGACGAACGATAAGGCACGAGGCACGCAAAGTAATAAACTGAGGTTGTGCTTCATCAAGAAACAAAAAAAAACTGGGATTAGGAAATGCACACAAGTGAGCGCAAGGATTCACAAGCCAGTGGGATCTGCTAAGGTTCGAAGTCGTAGTATGGTTGGATGGAAAGAAGTAACTGAAATGACAGAATTCGTGAAGAAGGTAAGGGATAAATAAACCCGATGATGTCATTTGAGCCGAGCCTCTCCAGCCGGGCCCTGAGGATGTTCAGAGAACGTGTCAAAGAAAGCGGCATCCCACCTGTAGTACTAAGTAGCAGAGAAGTCGAAGTCACAGCTGCAGCCGGCGATGGTGATCGGGATTAGTCCCAAATGTTCACGAAGCAATTGGGTGCAATTGTACAGTATTAGGCGAAGGGAATATCTATACAGACGTCAGTTAGCTGCAGTATGCGAACTGAAGAGCGACAGGTGACGCAGGGCTAGACTGATGTTAGGTTCTTTCAACTGGCCAGCTACTAGGATACGCCAGCACAGAGTGGAGAAGTCGATCGAATGCACGTCGAGTGATGCACATTTCATGTACTAGAGCGACCACACACTGGTTAGTCACATGAACGCCCCAAACCAACTCACGATTCGTAGAAACGCTGCTTATCCAACTGGACCGCATCGAGCCCAGTTAGATTTTATGGTGGACGGCTTCACGAGAGTGCAGATGAGAAGGAGCGATTGCGAGGGAACAGCCACACTCGCAAGCAACTATATGCCTGTCATGCTGCTTCCCATCTAAAGGAGCTGTCTTCGGAGGTTAAAAAGTCATCAAGCAACAGGTTAAATGAATGACTTCCTGCCTCGTTCGCACTGAGGACAATAGTGGGTTCGGTAAAACGGTTGAGATGGTCACATGGATGCGCAGTGGACTGACAATCATCAGTGACGGTTGGTCAGCGGTTCAGCATTCATGAACGAACTAGACGAACTATTTGGGTGAATATCCGAAACGCACAAACGCACTGGGCGTGGTCAAGCAAATGGACCATAACGAATAACATGCACGTTGACAGTGTTCGATTTTGCTTTGCATAAGTGCATCAAAGGCGGATCAAAACAAGTGTTCCATTGATCGACATGCGAGACCAAAGACAAACAGGACACAACAGACAAAATCAGTCATCAGCCGTTTACTGTTCAAAAGCACAGAACATGTCAACACTACTAAGATATGGTGAAACTCTGATTTTAACCTGGATGATCGTAACAAGCCAAGTTGTAGTCAATATAAATGACGTTCGTGCTGACGACACATGAACGATCGCGCGATTAGGGCGGGTCACAGTATTATTGATTACTCATAATCGTGTGAATTCACATGCGAAACGCGCGTAGCAACACTGCCAAAAGCTACCTGGTGGCCGCGCTGACAAGCATGCCGAGTACAGTAGGTCAGCCGTGAGTTGTGTGCCGAATGAGATGGGTCTAGTTTTCCTGGCTCGAACTCAAGTAACGAGCAGTGCAGAAACGTACAGACAGAAATAAGGTAAATACTGCTGTTAAGTAAACGAGTCAAGAACAAGAAGTAACGGGCCATACAGAAGGGCGTCACTCACTCCAAAGCTGTATCATATCAGAAGATCACCGAGAATCATTCTGGGCCTCTCAAGAAAATTCTTAATGCTTCTTGTCATGTGCGAAGATCGACCAACATTCCCCAGATCGGAGAGAAGATATGTACAAATTCGATCTTACGATTAGAATAGTTGTTTCATAACAGATTACAAGCTCCGCATCCTTGCTTTTACAACTAAGAACAGCGTTTACGAACCGCATAGGCTTCGATAACATGAGGACAGAGCGCGAAAAGAAGAGGTGTCGGAAGGCCTGCTGTCAAACACCAGCTGAAGGACATTCCGCCTTACAAAATATGATACTAAGACAATAATGATAAAAAACATGTGAGCATTCTTCTGATGCTTCCAGTGTGCATTGGCCAGCCTATGATTTGTACAGTAATCTTACTGCAACGATGACAAGGTAATATCAGATAGTGAAATCAGTTGACAGCTCCTCGTAAGTTCTAACGCATCACTGAGGGGCGCAGTAAAAAGACCTTAGGCCAGAAGGTATATTACAGATATGATCTTCAAGGCGACGCAACAACCAGATATGAATGAAGGAGCGCCTAAAAGCACAGACCAAGAATGAAAATACGATGAACGAACTCTCGGGTCTAGATCCAGCTTATCCAGTTCCCTTTAAGAATCGGTGGGCTGCGGAGATATGGCACAGGTGAATGGTCTGCAAATAACGCTGATGGGACTAAAAAGGTAGACAAACATCAAAAGACGTCCTATGATCAGTTCAACGACGAGTACTATGGTGCACAAGATGCTATCGAGTAAAATGTCTAGACCACCGACCAGTGAACCGCCACTCTCCTCAGTGGCGATGGCCAGAATCCACCACCCTGTTTCGTTTTAGCAACACCAGTCGGTGTTAGAATATCAGTGATGACCAGAGACTCATTGTCAGCGTCGCGGATGGATTCTGATGATGCGACGAATAGAAGGACGGGGTGAGCTGAGTACTTTGCTTTCAAAGTGCACGAAGACGATCACATCACAGCTGAGTCCAGTTTAATAAGTGCAATGGTTTCGTTAGCGAGACACACTCTGAGCTGGACGCAACAGAAAAGGTACAGAGAAAAATTTTGTGGAGGCGGCGAAAGCGAAACACCCAAAAATGTCAAGAAATCAGTGGAAATAACTGCAGCATGGATGGAAATTCGGAGTAAAATACAGAGCGGTAATTACACTAGCAATTACACGCGAATTTGCAGTATGCAGCAAAAAGGATACGGATTCGTGAAAGTTTGCTTTAAGTTCACTTTCTCTTTGCAATACGGACAGGTGTCCTTCTTGCCCACAATGCACCAGCCACGAATGCAGAAGTCGTGAAAGCTAGAATGCGTATGATGAAGTGCGGAGCGGTTAAGAAAAAAGCGAGTTCAGTGGTGACATGTGAATGTTTGCACAGAAAGTGAAAGGAACAAAAGCACTGGCAAGTGCGATAAATGCTGAATAATAAGTGGTAAGCTTGATGTATTAAGAAATAAGGCAATCAAATGATGTACGCGGTAAAAAGCGCAAATTAATCGTAACTGGAGATCATCACATAGAAATAGAACTCCGCGGTTTGGCAAACATTTAACAAAAACGATTGAGAGAGGACGAGAAAACAGCCAAATAAAATCAAACTAAGCGTCATACGGCCGCGTGGGGGTGTTTTCAACGAAAGACAAAACATGTGGTGAGTTGCCGTACAGTGGCTACAGATGTTCCAAAGGAGTGAAAATAAGTGCAAAGATGGGTAACAGAGGCGTTTTAGTACGAAACCACCAGATAATGAAAAAGATTCTATAGTACTTAACGAACTGTCCGCGCCCACCTTAATGTCTCGTGACGGATTGCAGCGTCCAGATAGGCTGATGTAGCAGTAGCCGTGGTGCTCAAAGGCTATATTCCTGTGAACAACTGATTATGTGCATTCTGTCTGATTGCACCCGGTGTAAGAGAATCGGATGACGCTCGTTTGTGCCGCCGCTTATGCACCTAACGGATACCTTCAGGACTTTGTCAGGTAGAGCAGCTACTAAGAACTTTGCCTATGACGATGTATAGCCACTGGTACAGATATAGTTTTAGTTTTCGAGAACAAGGATGCAAAAGCAGGCCGTCCAAGCCATTTGGTAGCTTACCTAGGTGTTATGATAGTGTTTATTTTCCAATGAAGGAAAAATGACCAGTTCTGTTTGTAAATTCACATGAAAGTGCGGTCATTTATAAACAAAATGAATTTGTTAAAATAGAGGACGAACCTGCACCACTTGGTGATCTATAGCAACCGTCGTGCGACAAACCTAAAGAGGTCACATCGCTAGAACTATAAGCTAGCGTATTTCTATTTTAAAAAGCCTGTCGCTTTGGAACGTAACTTGACTTAGTCTATACCCAAATTTTGCGCAAATTTTTATTAAATATTTTCTGGAAAGGAAGCAAACTATCAATGGGATGGTGACTGACAGAATGTTGTAACCGACCAGCAGTCCATGAGGATGCCATGAGAACCAGGATCACACCTCCAGGCACGGAAGTGATTGATCTCTGATTGTATACAGTGCCCGTGATTATGTATATTAAGCTTCAGCTTGTGAAACTGTTGTCATTGCACCGGACAGTGAATATTCGGAAGGTCGCTGGATCTGTAGACCACTAGAAGAATTCTTGCTTTCAGTGGGTACAAAAGTGCCAAGCGGGCATAACAGGTGAGAATTAAAAAGCAGCACGTAAACTAGCCGGAAGCCCGGTGGATGGAGTAGGTTCAGGAAAGAGGGGCAAAGGCGGGATAGCCAGTACCTGCAGACTCTTCTAACTAATCCGTGCCACCAGTCACGAGAAACCATCAATCAGTGAGATAATGATCGACGGTACCTGGGCGCTAAAGAACAATCTCACCAGGCAAAACTGCTAGCTGCACAGATTAGACCGTTGTCAAAATGTATAGAAGACAGAAAACGAAATGTCAGCACTTAACTCTTTCTCTACTGTTGACCCCGATACTATTTGTGCAACGAAGATAGCAGTCTCCTGCAAAGAACTAATCTAATTGATCGGACTGGTGTCAGAGCTACTGTCTCAACTGATTTGTGGGAGCCGATTACGGTGGGAATGGAAGCAGAGGTTCCTAGAGTCAAAGCTGGTTCTGATGAATAGCGGCTGAAATGATTGGAACCGTAAACCATCATGTTGCCAATCTGGGGTATTACTGAAATCGTTGTATACAGATGGTGAATTCACAAAATGACTTGAAAACCGTCGACTGGTATTCGATTACTATGGCATATTTAAAAGAAGCTTCCTAGTGAACGCAATGGCGACGGTGACAACGGCGAGGCTCAACCGATTGGTTGGTAAGAAGTGCACGATCAGAAGGAATACAATCGTCCCCAGTATTCACCCACCTTACTCTGTAATGTTTGTGACATCACGCCGGCAGCGAATCAAGTAAACATTGGCAGAGAAGCATTAATCCAAAGGTGTGTGGTGGACGGCTCACGTGGACTGCTAGAAATATCCTCATCACAGTTTTCCGAAGCAAAGCACTATACAGTAATGGTGACCTGTTGTGTAGTAATCAAAATGTCAGAAAAGGAATGCGCTGAAAGGAGATATGAAAAAGAGAGATAAACGCGGTAGATTGACGTTCGCGGTCACACTAGCTATACGCGCATTTTTTCACCACAGAAGCAGCCAGCTGCCGAGTGGTGAACATGAGTACGAGACCATGTGAGACAGTCCCCAATTCAAAAGCAACAATCAGTACAGAACAGGCTAGGTTGCCGGCAAGAAATAATCACAAGCATTAAATGGGAATGCATGGAAACCACAAACATTCTGGCTAAAACAGTTCCGTGAGACAGAACAGTGAAACCATAAATGCACCCGATGCGCAGCATATTTTGTGGTCACCCGTAAAGCTGGAGACTTGAAATGAGTCAGCGTGCTTCAGCTATTGCTGTTGTGAACGGATTTGTAATCAGTAACGGCAGCACTTTGGATTCAGTAATCCAAATACCCCATCAACGACAACCCTACGGCCGAAGAGAACTTGATTTTCACCCGAGAACAAGCTTTGGGTGTGCTGGGGTTACTTTGACCACCATCTCGGAGATACCAGACAAGGTACTAAAAGGCACCTGACATAGTAACGATAATGTGAGCACGTCCGACTGAAGCGAAGTAGAACACCTGGTAATGTCCTGTTGAAGATGCTATTGACGACCTACCAGCTCGGTACATCCCACAAGATGAATACGTTTGATGTGCAATTCAGAGATTGAGAAACAACTATGACTGCGTCAAATTCGCGCTTACCAGTGCATCTAGTCGACTAGATAAATGGAAGTGTTGATTCGTCTGCAAGCTATGCACTCTTGCCACAGCGAATCGTCGAAAATCAGGTTAGTGCTCAGCGGGCAAAAATAAAAATCTGCAAACAGCCGCAGGGTATGGGAAAAACAAGTGGTTCAGCTAGGGTGCAACTGTATCCCTTCGTGTGCATATGCTTAGCTAGAGATGCCATCTGGTAAGAGATCCGGATAAATGGTATGACACAACTAACCAGGGATCAGCTGTCACACAGCATATGGTACTAAAAGATGAATGACAACCAAGTGACTGCTTGAAAAAGAGCTTGGCGTCATGCTCTACGCTTCTGTCGTCGCACTTCGGCAACAGTGGATAAAAAGTGATCCTCATATGAGTTAGGGAATTGCGAGAAACGCCAACTAGCTATGTTTCACAGTGCCAAGATAGGTATTTAGAGCACATCTATTAATCACCCAATGCCACATTAAGCAATGAAAGGTAGGAGGCAGAAAAAGGATACACGTGAGCACAATTAAGCCGATGGATTTTCTCTCCATTGTCTTTCCTGAGTAGATTGGTGCAAATGGAACAAACCGTAGGGTCAAGTCGCCGGACAGGCATTCCATTTGGAACTTGATACTAAAATGAAAAGAAGCATTGATGAAATAAGCACATGGGAGTCGTAAGCAGGAAGAATTCGAACACGGTGACGATGATGTTGAGGCGCATCTCACAGAATATTTGCAAACACATCAGTAATCAGTTCCAGTCCATGCAAACCACTCTGCAGGCCTTGATGTCGAATGAATAAGTCGGAGTTGTTTTAAGGTGCAACTGTACTAACGTCACTAAGCCTAAACTAAGTACGTCGTACGAAAACTAAACTAAAAATTACGAACAGATAAACCTAGACTTAACGCACGGTCTGGGCAGAAGAAGAAAACGAATTATCCTGTAACCGTGGTTCCATAAGTCATAATAAATACAGTACATGACTTACGAATAGGTTTCGCAATCGTAATGCAAGTGGGCAGAAACTGTCCAGCGTGGGGCGGATCGAGTATTCGGGCAGTGTCACAGTAACACAATAATAAGAATGACCTTGAAACCTCAAGGATGTGTCAGTGATGGAGTGTAAGAAATAAATATGCGATACGTTAACCGCTTGTAAAACACAGAAAAGCAGTGCAAATGTGCAAGATAATCAGGGAAAAGAGATACCGTGTCCTCAGGTAAGCAATCCAGTTTGGGGATACATCAAAGTTCCTTTTGGACTTTACAGCAACTATGAGTAGAATCTCTTCGGCTTATGACCTCGGACTCGGAGAGTGCTACGTCAATCAGATAGAAATTTGTGAAACGTTAACAGCGGAAGTCAGTAGTTCGCTTAGTGCTCTAACTCTGATTGAGGGAATCCGAGCTAGACGTTTGGTCTCTTGCGTACACAAACTTCCATGGAAATCTGGACTGAAAAAATGAGGTATTACAGCGCTAAGTAGCGATGCTGAGGTGATTATCTAACCTATTGAAGGGGAGAAAGTCAAGTAAGAATAATGGAGTATCTACCTACTTGAGACACTGTTTGCCAATATGCAACATCCAAGCAGCAGAAATCTATAGAGATTAATAGTCCAAATGAAGACCAAACAGCAGCCAAAAGCAAATTCAGTCATGTACGAGGATGATGAACGAAAGAACACAAGTACTCTGGATTGAAAGAAAGAAAATTACGAATCTGGCTGACTTGAACCATCAGCACAATACACTCCACATCAGTAAGACAGTAAGAAAAATAGGCGGGCCGCAGGTAGTGCCCATTTTAACTTGTCAAATGCGACGAAATGATTAAAGCATAAGTCATGAAATCACAAGTAGTTGTGAAACTAAAACAATAGGCGGAAACAGGTCATGAGACTAGTTACCATCTCACTATCAATTGACGGAAACGGGAAGGAGGATCGTGAAAGTGCAAGAATACGAAGTAACTCACCCCTATCTGTGCAGCCATTTTGTTGGTACACACCTCGGCGAAGTCACGTGATATAACGCCATAGTACAATCCGTAGAAAATCATCAAAAGTGCTATATCCATAGCCACATTGGTCGGAAGAAGAAACATAAGGTTCAACTGGAAGACACTGAGCATAACCAGCACATAGCCCGTTATACCGAGTGCATACGACGCATTGTGTACAAACAGAAACCATCGATAGACGCGCCTAAAATGTTGGGAGCAAAATGCATAGTCAAAGGTTACCTCAGTTGTATCTGTTTGTTGACTGACCACACAAATCCAAAAAACAAACTGGGGTTAAAAAGTCCGGCAAGTGCTGTTAGGTCCCGCTGAGTGTTGCAGTGATCTGTAACAGGTGTTAGCTTGCAAATGAACCCACAATGAGTGCATGTTCATTGCTTAAGGTGAATAGTGCAATGTGCTGTGCTTACGCGACCCAGATGTTGTATTGAGTGGGCAAAATACTGTCAGGTTGCCCAGGCCTAGACAGGAGAACGTATTGAACACGTTTGGTCAGATACACTAATCGACATGGCAAACAGTCAACCGCAATGGCGTTTGTGTGGTAAGTCTTTGTCCCTCCATTCACTTTAGCTTCCCCTCCAACAACCATCAAAAATGTGATACTAGCATTAGGTTACTTTTGTATAGCCTGTATGTCTACAATGCTTAAGGTTTTACATTTTGTACTGCGGTACATTACCTGAGGTGTGTTTCTCACCCTCGAATAACGTGTATTGATGAAAAAGATGATAACTTCTAGACGTTTTGTGCACGAGAAAGTCACAGGAGCCCAAAGAAGACAATCAACAAGTTGCCACAAAGCCAGTGGATACAGCATCTTTACGAAACTGTAGGAACCTCTAGCTGTCGACCTGTAGCCTAGAGTTAAGGAGTTTGTCTCGTAATCTTGCGGCGCGGGTTCGAATCCGCCTAGGGGCCGTCTTCACGATATACTCAGCCGGCGTGCGGCTGGTGGTGGTCGCACGGCATCGCAGCGCCCATACGGCGTACAGCTGACACATCATTATATTATTGAATAAAAACTAACAGTGAAAAAAGAGTAGATACTTCGTAAACCTTATGAAAAATGCACACAGGTAACGACAAAGCCCAACATTGAAATTTCCGTGAATAAAATCTTGATTGCATACCGTGGTGTATGCGTGCCTATACGTCTTCTGGAAGCCATGTAGACCATAGACCCGGTGACTAATGAGAAGAAAAACCAAATGACGACGAATCTTGCGAAACGAGCCAAAACACTATAAGCAAATGGGACTATCCACATGGCGAGTAGGGTGACCACCTGATAGGTCTTGAAGTGATACTTTTTCCACAGCATCAACAGAAACTGGCTGACAAACAAGCTGAACACAGCAATGAGGAACATTTCAAGATGCATCTCCTCATGACCCTGATGCAACTCGTGGAGCTTCAGATGACGAATCCTGTAATGTTACGCGAATGATGATCACACTCCTACCGAGTCCGTTCCTCAGGGGACAATTGAGAAAGCCGATAAGTCTGAAATGGAGCAGATTTGTTCCGTTTACAGCAAGACGTACAACATTGTCGACCGTGAGGATGTCTGGATCGGAGTCCATGTTAAAGTGAGTAGTAATTGGTAAAATTGACGAAGTTCAGTGGTCGGGCGCGGACGTAGTTAGTTCATGTTGTTTGGAAAAATAAGGCTGGAAAAGGGAATATGAAATTTAATGGTAGGCAAGGAATGGCCAAAAATAGTGGGAATAGCAGACGACACATAAAAAACACAAAGTACAGGGCAGGAAGTATGAGGTAATGGATATGCGTGATGTAAAAAAATATCGATAAGAAATGAGATTTGGACACCGTATGGTGTGACATTCACCTGCTTACTAGTGACGACAAGGACAAACGTCTGACGCTCAGTGCTGATTGCCATTAAATTGATACATGGACTCTGTGGTCCGCCTACAGCAACGAGTCTCAAATGTACTAGTACACTAACAACCCAAATAACTAGCGATACAAGAACTGATTTTTGTGGGAGCGTCCGCAATATGCCCCGATGGGATACGGAACAGTATGATAACAGCACTATTCACATAAAATGTTGTCTGCATGAAGTGGGTCAGATTCGGTGTAAGTTATGGCTGCCAATCCTTGGTGTGGTAATCCATCAAAATAGTGATCAATGCAAGGTATCCTGGGAAACTTGTTAAATGGGAGTCATATGGAAAAGACCGGCATTAACAGCGCTAGGAATGAAACCTCAGTAACGGATAAAGCGAGTGTTCATCCAACCATGCCGCTGAACAAGCACAACGGCCAGCAAGAGTCATGCAAGACTTTTAAGCTATACAAATGAAAAATACACGTCAAAGGATGCCAATAATGACGATCTTTTCCTACAGTTGAGTGCCCTGCTTCGCGATTGCCAAGTATCGTTATAAGGTACACCACCATCGGGCTGACTTGTTGAACTACCTCCCCGTGATGTCAGCATCGCAGTCTGAAGCTAACTTGTTACGTCAAAACATTCGGTGTTAATGATCCAGGCCGCGATGAGTCAGTACTTGAGAAACGTCCTCCACGTAAAAAGCCACAAGGCCTGTCCCAAAATAGTCACTACCCATCGTTTTGCTTTAGTGTAGCTTTATACAACAAAAGATGCGTGCCGAGTCTCTGGGTTGAGTTGGATTCGGTTTTATAACTTGCACAACAAAATGTATGTTATCTGAGACACAGGTCAAAGAATCCCAATGGGCGCGATTCCCTGAACTCGCCCCTTCACTTTGCCAGTAAGCCGCTGATGAACAGATTTTGGGTGGTGTTCCATAACTCAACTCCTTGCGCGACCTTGTGGTATCCCCTACACTCTCGTCTCCGGCTAAATCGCTTTGCACCAATCTCTATCACGCCAACCGGTCATTCAATATCAAAGCATCTTATTCTCGAACTAATTACGAGACCATTTTTGATGCTGTCAATAAAGTTCAGCCCGAGGTTATTCTTCGGCATCGATCAGTATTTCGGGTGCTAACGTACAATATTCAGGTCCATGCACATCGAGCGCATATTCAGAATTCCCTTACTACCGATATATGCTGAACTTCCGAAAAACAGTGGCAAGATCCGTGGCACTGTGTACAAGTAGATACCCTTCAAAAACACAGAAGCAACAGATAACCTATCTTAGACTGGTGCTGAAGAAGTAACTGCAGCGCGTTTAGCTTGCGATGGAGTTACATTCGATTGCAAAGCTCGGAGCTCCAAAGTCTAACGTGTATCCAGTTGAAAGATGAAATCAACAACAATACAAAGAGTACACCAGCCATTTGAACTGACGCTTCCCTGCTATACAACCACAACGACCCACGGAACAGAGAAAAATAAGAGGGAAAGAAGAGGGGTTGCCGGAAAAGCTCAATGCTATAAGCAAACATTCAGGATCAAGACGCCACACCTTGTCTCAATAACACGCTGCCACAAACAGCTGGCTATCGCGCAAAATTGAGTCGGCATCAGCGAGAAAGCTTACTTGCGGCTTTCACTGCCACGCGTCAATCAGCCATTACATCGCGGATAACTCAGCAACAAAGACATTTTAAACAGGCAGTCCGACTAAGAGACAGCAGCGGACGCGCCCCTCATGTCGACAGCAAGCCATGTCCTGTAACGTCTCGAGCCAACAACAAAGCAAGTCACGTGGACTCCAGCCTGAAAGGCGAGACGGACCGACAGCACCCAAGTTTGGTCGTCAGTGACGATGGACCCTGCTTCCAAGTCAACGCTTGTCCAACACGAGCTTTACACCATCCTATATCTGGTAAACCAAACAACGCCCTCCTCGGTAAAGTGTGACTGGGTACACGTAGTAAGTGCCCAAGCCAACGCAACTTATTCAGTGCTATCTGCTGTTCTAAAGAATTAGCATACGTAGCATTACCCAGCAGTCGCCTACGCATACCACTGTTAGGCACAGCATATAGTAGCCCAACGCCAGCAATGCCCCAAAGACAGTGATGATCAACGGCTTAAAGGCGAGCTGAATCTCACTACCACTGATTTGGACGGCCCAGACTAAAACCTTGTAAACAAGGCGTTTCAGACCGAGGAAAACCCATTTCTGACGCCAAAGAGGTCGCAGATTTGAAAACACAGCTCTGCCCTTCGCAAGGCGTGAAGCGACTACAGTGCCTATGCGCCCATCATTACTCATGCAGCAGCTAAAGTAAGTAAATTGGTCAAGTACGTCGAGTCCTTCGCCATCAAGAATCACACGGTGGCTGGTGGTCCTGCAACAACACTTTGCACTTTGAAGATTCGAAGCGCATTCCAAATGATGAGACCACTCTTGTGAGGTTATTCAAGGTTGATTCGGCTGTTCCACGATTGTTGAATAGGAAAAATATCTCGTTCGCATAATCAAGAGCAACCAGTTTTTCACCAAAAAACACCTCGTGACGATTCACGCGGAAACACACCATGATAGCGTCCAAGGCGAAAGTGAAGCAGTTAGGTAACCCTGACGAACGTCACTAGCTGTCGGAAAGATATCCCACAGGTCACCGTAGACCTTGATGACCTTTGACGTGTTCGATTATGGAGCACGTCATATGTTCACATATTTCATGAGTACAATTTTCCACACTAGTATTTCGAACAGAATGCATCAACTGACTAAAGCGAACGCACCTGGACGTCGAAGAATACAGCTACTGTCGGTCTGTGGTATGCGCGACGATGCTCTAACACTCGCCGCAAATTGAAAATAAGGTCTATACAGCTCCGTCCTGAGCGAAAACTTTCCTGCTCTTCCCTAATCCGACATTCCAGTTCCGCAGTGAGGCGACGAACGAACATCGACACCAGTAATTTTGTTGCCAATGGCGCTAGGCTAATACCGCTGTGGTTAGCACAGTCGGTGCGACTGCCCAAATTATGTACGGCCACTATAATCGATTCACTCCAGTTAGCCGGGACGGTCTTCTTCTTCCAGACGTATTCGAACAGGGAGATCAGTGTTTTGCAGAGGACCTCACTCTATCCTTACACAGTGTTGGTGTGAGCGAATCCGGGCCAGTAGCACGAAAACGATTGAGGACTGTGATCGCGTTTCGGATCTCAGTTCCCGATAGGGACTGTAAACTAAACGCCCATGGCTAAGCCTGCGTTACCTGAGTAGGAAGAGGTCCGGAAACAAAAGGCCAACTGTGCTGATCTCGAAAGTGCTCCAACCAAAGAACCATTCAGCGTTCGATATTGCGGATTATGGCATCCGCGCCGTCTCTGATTGTCTCACTGATGTCTGGTTTCCTGGGATCAGTGGTGCGCATCAACCAGAAGAGCATGCAGTAAATGCCTACTGCTCCTGCATTCTCCATTTCTTGGGCCCGACTGGTCTGCCACGCATCCTTTTCAGTGTGCAGACTCCGCTATAGTTCGCGCCTAATAGTACGTCTGGGCTCAGAGCCAGTCGGGAGGTTTCTTTTGGATTCCAACAAGTTCACTGACCTCTCGGAAATTCAGTGATTGCTACGGTGTTAAGTTCCAGTCTCGTTGCGACGGAAAAGATGTAACCAACTAGTGGTCTTCACCTATGCGCCAACTGACTTCATTTGAGGCTTGACCAAAAACGACATTTGTTGTTAACTTCGACAGTTTTCTGCTCGGAGCTGCTAAACAGGACGTCGTTATGCGCGATGGAGAGCTCAATGCAAGAGTCGATTGCTCACTATCAGGTGAAGATTACCTGAGCGTACTGAGCAAGAATCGCTCAGATAATGGAGCCAGATTTCTCACTATATGTCAAGACAAAGACGTATTTCCATAACAACCAACTCCAAACAGGAGAGGCGTTCTGCCACACAGTATCCTTCTTCGCTAACGCAAACTCGGCTTCAAATTGACCACGTTGTAACCGGTTTCAGATGTTCCAATAAGGTACAAGTCACTAGATCATTTTGATCAAATGATGCACTGGTCTGTGCGAAAATTTCCATGCGATTCGGGAAAAGTGCCTGACCGAAAGCATTGCAAGTGTGATATCAACAGCGTAGCTGACCAGGCGAGATTGTTTCACGTGCGCACACCAAGCAGCCCACGTGGGTATCGGACCTAAAGCAGATAACTCACCCACTATGCTTCGAGTGGTGAAATAGTGGAAGAGTTTGCCTGCGAAACATGTCAAGGCAAAATCTTCGTCAGAATCTAAGAAATTGTTGGACGCACTTTGCAGATCTCAGATTCAAGGAGCGCATCGCACCCGAATAGCAAATGACGCAGCTGTAATATGCATCAAGCACTCACGAATCAGTGACGTGACTTTGCGCACGTGCCCGAACTAATTACGATGGAACAACGCAGACGCATTTCTGCTAGCTTTCTATTATCAGTATTTGGTATCAGAGGCATGGTCAAGTGTCCCGACCGATACTGAACACAACTGGACCTTCTTGCAGAGCACAGTGATGATATCCGGTCAATCAGTCTGCGGTTAAACTCATCACTCCCTGAGAGATTCAATCTCTGTATAATTTTTGGCACTGTTTTAACACCGCCAAATTTCCACAATAAAGTCAGAGAATAGTGAAGTTTGCATCACTGTCAGCTGATAACTCAAGTGAAGTCTGCACAGACCAGAAGGTTTGGCAGCCCTACATACTCTAGGGTAAAAACCACTGCATTAAGTGGAAATACTCGCAAGC